AAGGAGTGAATGAATGAGCAGTGAATTAGTACACAGGGTCTTGCCATCCAAAAAACACGTCTCTGCTTTTGTACCTTCTCTTGCCAAAAATTTGGCAGAAATGAGAAGGAGGCATGATGCACTATGGACAGGGTAAGGACATGGGAGGATGTTGTGGGTACTGTTAAGAGGATTTAAATACAGAGAGCGTAAATGAGGGTATTGCAGTAAAGGCACCATGAGAAAATAGGACACAAGTCTATGTACAAATTGTTTTTTTCTATAGTCCTGGTGACATAGTGACTCCATGTTGGTAGAAGAAAACAGAGTCTGTTCTCAGTGGATTTAAAATGAGGTCCATTCCTTGAACTCAGTGAACTTCAGCTATGTGGCTGCCTAAAATCTGGGTTTATATCTAGCCACTATCAAAACTGGGACTCTCAAGACAGCCCTAGGCAGTGGAAAAAAGAGGATAAGGGACCGTAAGCAATTTCAGAATAAGCTCTTTGTCACTGTTATTCTGCCAGTATGGCTTACTTTGTTTGGTTTTGGGGGTTTGTTTTGCTTTGTTTTGTTTTGTTTTTTCTCTTGGTGCTTGTCCAGACATTTTGGGTATGAAGGGAGCCTTTCAGCTGCCAGGAGTGGCAGGTTAGAGAGAAAGTGTTTTGCTCCTGGACACTTAATTTGAAGCGAAGGACAGGAACAAGGTTTGTGTGAACCTCCATGGAGGGAGGATGATTAGAATGGTTTTAGTCCTAGGTATAATTTTAAAATTGCATCAGAAGATTCTGCAATGATTAATATACATAATTTCTTCCTTGTTAGGAAATTTGTCTTTTCTCTGGAAGAGCAGTTCTTTTGCAGTGCTGCCAAGTCAGATCCATTCTTAGGTACACGAGACACCCCCCTCAGCTTCCGGAATATTGAATTTAAACTTGTGTATCATGGATTTCATATGAAATTCGTCTATAATCCATATTGCGGATTCGGCTGAAATCAGGACTCTGTTTTCTGAAGTACATTTCACAAGATGTACGAGGCGGATCCTTCCACAGGGAGCTTGCAGGTTTTTTTCATTGTTACAAGAAGAAGCTTGAGACAGAGATGTAGGGATCGATCGTGTGGCTTTTCATAAGCAGTCACTGTGGTTTGCCTGTGGTTTGACTTGCTGAGGAGCTGCACAGCTAGACCGGCACCATTCATAGCCCGCAGTAACATGTCCCAGCCCTCAGCTGGACTCAGTCGCTGAGGATCAGAAAGTGGGTAAAGGCGGCTGCATAGCCACGGGTCAGCCCTCTGCCCAGAGGCAGAGTTTGTTCACGTCTGCTCCGAAAGAGCACCTACACCCTATGGGAATACAAGCTTCAGCCGTTGAATAGGCAGCTGTCGAGGCTAAGCTAGTTCTTAGTTCTGAGTTCTACTGAGTGTACTCAGTGGAGAGGTAGCAGTACACTTGGTGTGATTCACCACCACCGCTCCCCAGAATGGAATTATCCCGTCCCTGGAAAGTCTTTCTTCATGAACTACAGAGGAAGGTTTGCTTAGCTGAATAGGGTGAAAGGGTAGGTCTTAGCCATCTAAAGGTAAACCAATCCTGAAATCATCATCATCATCATCATCATCACCATCATCATCATCCTCCAGTAGATGAATGACTGTACTTTGTGTTTCCTCAAAAGGCAGTGACAAGGGATGGGGGCTTCCAAGGATCATCAGCATCATCCAGCCCATCGGAGGGGAGGTGACTAGCTGAATAAGATGAAGTACTCTTCTGCCCATGCTATGAACAGGGCATAAGTAGTTACCCAAGATCAGACACCAAGCTTTACACCACTTGTGTTAACTGAGATGAATCCCATAGAATTTACCAAACCTGAATTCAAGTCTGCAGGTTGAATTTAAGTGCAGGTGTGGGAAGGGAAGGCAGTTTGTGCTTTCCGCAAGGTGCCCTATTTTCAATACCATCCATTAACAAGACAATCACTTTTCAGTCTGGCCGATGTGAAATCTTACTCTTTAAAACTATCTGTTGTTATTACTGATTTCTGACATACTACAAACCAGGAACATATGCCCACTAGAAGCTCGTTTCTTGCAGTGTCTGAGCCACCTCTTTCAAATCTAGCTTGGGCATCCCTACAACACAGGGCAACGGAGACGTACCGTCAGGGCTAGAGGAGACTCCTGCTGTGCAGTTTCACACTCAAGTCACATTGACTTCTGTGGGCAGATTTCACCCAGCAGGAGTTTCTGGCTGTTCCATGGTTTACAAATGTAAGGGGATTGTGCACGTGGGCCTTCATTGCATTTAATTTTTTTGGTCTTTTTTTTTTTTTCTCTTATAAATTTTTTGTTTCAAATATGTTTTTCCAGGCAGGATCAGGCAACATTCCCATTGATAATGAATTCTTTCCAATCTCCATCACTCACTTGTTTTAATAACTCAGGCAAATTATTTGACTCTCTTCTATATCAACACATCAGTGCTTCTAGCACAACGAATTTATAATGTCTTTTTAAATGGGATTGTTTTTTAGCTCTGCCTGATATTACCACAAAAACAGCCACCTGGTATAAATGAATTTGAAACACAGTGCTATGAAATATTTATTCCATGTCTATACTTTCTTTTCTGCAGTATAAGGAATTTATTGCATTTCTCTAGGTTGGTTTTCAGTATCTATTGCTGTCCCAGTGTTTGGAAGACAACTGATGTTGAAGAAATAATAAGAAATAAGAAAGCTTTCCCTATTCTTATCGAACTCATTTAATTTAAGCGAGCAAGGCTAGCAGGTGGTTCTCAGAAGATCTCATTAGCCACTTTGATTGTCTCTAACACCTCTTGTAAGCAAATGTCTCATTACCAGGATATTTACATATCCTTTACTTTTGTACAGAGTGCCGTACAACAGTGGACTATAAACCAATTACTACATGTCTTCAGATTTACATGGTAAATACAGTTCCTACTGCGTGGACAGACACTAGCTATCAAAGACAATAAAATCTAATAGCACTCAATGTGATCTTGATTTCCATCTTTAGTATTCTGATTGTATCACAAAACTTTTCAAACCCCAGTTTTTGAGCCTTATGGAGCTGTTCTAGTGAATCACAGTATTCATACAATGAGATCCCCATCTGGCAAAGGAAAAAACCTGGGGTTGGAGTGGAAGAAAGAGAGAGGGAAATGGAAAGGATTCCTTTTTTCCAGCTCCTGCTATTAATTAACAAGCATTTTTTGCAGCAATATTTTATTCTGGTAGATCTGCCCAAGCTGAGAGTTTTTTAGCTAATAGGATCAGGATTTTATACGGTTATTAATTTACATTATGTGATCTGATGCTCCATCCTTTAATTTGAAAGAATGATTATGAACTCCTTGTCATATGCCATCCTTATAACATCATAACAGTGTTGTTTGAGACTGACCTAATTCTTCAAACGTTATATCGCTCAGAACTGCCCAATCCACCACACATGGTAGCATCTGGCTTGTGAGAAAACATGGGGCTTGATTCCCTGTCACTGAAGCTGATGGAAAAGATACACCAAGTTCATTCCCTGTGAGCATGCATTTTTCACTGATGGAAACCTGCTACTATTACCAAAGTTTGATAAAACCCACACTGTTTTTACAAGTTGATCACCCAAACCTCATTATATTGTACTTGCGTGCCAGGCTGAAACTATGACACTTTGAAGTATTATCTGCTTTTACTGAAGATCTTATTTTTTCTGGCGCATAGTCAAAGAGAGACTATATCAACAGAAAACCACTGAGAAAACCATGGAGCTTGCTGCTTTTAACAGTTGGTGAGATTATGTGCTTGATCTCAACATCAAATGCAAATAAGTAGTGGAGATGTTAAGATTTAGTTTATCTTTCTTTTCCTGTTGAGGTAGAAGATGATTCCCATTTGAGATTCCTTCACTAAGTATTTTTTTTAAACATTAATCAGAAATTTGAGAGATTGTTCTGAGTATTTCTGTACACTGCATAGGTCTTTTACGTTTACGAGCTTGTAAGATGGTGGTTTACAGAATTACAGGAGGGCTTATGCCTCTTGAAAGGCAGTCGTAGCTTGTCATGTCTCTGAGACAGTGACCAGAACGAAGCAGGAGCTGGTCACCTTTGTTGTATTTACAATAACAAACGGGACATGAATTTTTTATCCTAAGAGAACACAGCTCCCTTCCACAATCCCATCAGCTCTTTCTCCATGCATGTAACAGAAGGTTAGTTCTTTATCACTCAGGTCTTTAGTTCAAAGCTTGTAACCTGAAGCCTGATCTCTGAACAGCTGTTAAAGGCTAAAGTTCTGTCTTTAGCTTATGCAAGAAATCATTAGAGATCAAAATCATCCTTTTGACATTGTGAGTTTATATTCTGCAAAGCAAAAACTGCAGTAAAGGTAGTGAATGATACTACAATGGTTCTTTATTAAAAGAGGACATTACTACTTCCAATATTTTTTTAAGAAAATGGACAAATTGAAAGAGGTGAGCTTGCCTTACACATCCAGTGGGGTGTGTGATGGGATGTAGGACGAAGCAGAATCCCTTTTCCAGTTTCCAGTAATCTCCCTGGATGAGATTCCAAAATGTGCCAGTACCCAACCTTGACAAGGATTAGAGCCAACAGAAATTTAGAGAATTTAAATCAAAGATGATTAAAGATTTAACTTGGCAATATGGAAAGATAGCTAAATGATACTGAACGAGAGCCACGTGGTGGTAGATTAGTTTCTGGTGTATGTTGGAGTGATTTAACTAGGACTAAGAAATGCCGTCTTCTGCTAGGGTAGAGTCTGGTCATTACTGTGCAATGCAACTACGTATGTTATGCTATTCTTACGAACGAAAATTATTTTATTCCAGGGAAAGTTTATTAGAAAATGATACTGTTTATTACTTTAAACAAGTGTATTTTTATGGGTAGAAGAAATAACCCTCTATAAAGCACAATAACAGTGTGATGAAAGGAATGGATTTCTACCACTAATGTATTTTATCCCTCCTTCTCTTCTATAGGTTGCCCAGGAATGTGGGACAATATCACATGCTGGAAACCTGCAAGTGTGGGTGAAATTGTCTTTGTCAAGTGTCCTGCACTGTTCAGATTTATCATCTCTGAAGACGGTAATGTATTTTGTCTTTGTTCTTTGCCTCTGTCTGGTAAAGCTGCATGGCCAGCAGGAGTGTAAAACCTCACTTAGATACTCAATATAAAGGGAAATCAAAAACTCTACAGAGGCCTGGAGTTGGGCTTCAGTTTAAAAAAAACACTCTAGAAAACCAGTATGTTTGTGTATAGATATGTGTGTGTGTGTGTGTGTGCAGGGGTGGGAGGGAATGTGTGAAAAAAGCCTTCACAGACTATACAGCATGAAAATATCACCAGTTCTATTGTTAAAGGGGATGTTCTGTCCTTGGTTCTCCACTGAAATCAATGAGACATGAAAATGTGTTTGGGTCTTGGATAACTATTCATTACAATTCAAACCTATTTTAGAAAATAACTAAAACTCACACCTGGGTTCTGCTCATGTCTAAGGAGAACGTAGGCATGAGATGAACAATGTGAAGAGCCTAGGGAAGAGACAGTGGGAATTAAAGATTCCTGGCGAGATGCAGAAGCTCCATCATGCTTTTTTGTGGTCTGTAGAAATGAGACATCACCATCCTTCTGCCCCTTGTAGCTGGCACCAGCAACCAAGCAAGCAAATGAAAGATCAAAAATTCGGGCTGGTTTTGTTTCCAGCATGCATTGCTGCCTAACAGAATTGTCCCTTGTCTTGCAAAAAATACCGCAGATGGTCCGCTAGGCTCGTGCATTTTCTCTTTTCTCTCTTTTTGTTACCACTTTAAGCTTGCACCAGAAGTCCCATGCGCTCACCATGCTTGGTAACCAAACCCTATCAGATCCCAGCATTAGTCCTTATACAACCCAGCCACTGCTCCCTAATGAGCTATTAAAAGGACAGCCTGCCTTAGTAGTGGTAACACTAACTATTTGACATAGTTATTAATAACACTCAGTGCTTTTTAATGGGAAGTCTCTGTGCAAGCTACTATTTACATGATACTAAAATCCTCTTGTCCTTTCTTGATTTTTTTAACCTTTGAAATGCATGAAAATTTGCCAGGTAAAAATGAGAGTGTGTGGATAGGAGGAAATAACTATTAAGTTGTTCACAGCAGATAAATAGTTTGATTAGATCTTCTCTTGACATTCCCTTTTTTTTTTCTTTTTTTTTTTTTCTCATGATTCCATTAAATGATATTCCCAGGTGAATGACTGGGAGTCTAAATCAGCCCATCAATATTAACAACAGGCCTTTGCTGATAATTAACACAGTTTTGTCCATCTCCTCCCAGCACCCATCTAGGCTACTGTAGATCACTTAATTAACACTGTCCATTGAGGAAGAAGTTAATAATTTTCCCCCCGGATCCTTTTCCCAAAGAGTATTTTCCCAATGAATTATTCATTTACAGTCTTGAGTGCAAAATCCACCTTCTCTGCATTGCCACACGGAGAACACAATTTGTGGGAGACAGTAAGTTTTCCACACACAGCTCCAGGAATGCTGAAATCCTCACCTTTAAACACATCCATCTGAACTCATCCAGACATTGAAGCAAGTGCCAATGCTCTTGTGAAATGGAGAAGAATTTAAAGATGATCATTACCTCATCTAAATTTCCCCTTATGAAACTCAAACGTTTTCTCTATATAAGTCCTCTAGACTCCATCTGTAGTCGGTGGAAAGAGACCCACAGAAGGCAATTTATGTTATTGCAAGAGACATGAGGTGAATCGTACCTTGGAGACATCTCTCTTTATCCAGCAAGTACTAAGGGCAATTCACTTAAACTAGGCACCTAATTTTTGAACGGGGAAAGACAAGTCCCTCTTTAAATTATCAGGTATGAAAATATAATTACTACTGTAATTCTATGTGCTTTAATTATAGCCAGTATAATTAAACATAATCTTTACTGCTGTAATGGTTCAGTATTGCCTCAGTGGCTACAACGGCACTTACTGAGCCATCCACGTTCAGCGACAATAGAAAAAACCAACACATCAGCATCCAGTAGAGTTTGTATCCAGCAAGCGTAAGGAAATATTTTTCCCTATCTCAGAGCTGGATTTTTTTTTTTAATTCTCCATGGCCTTGTAATCAATTTTTGTTGACTACTTGTCATTCAGCCTGATTGTCAAACCAATTCCGGTCATAATTTGTGCAGAATATACACTCAACCAAAAGTTTTTGCTCTCCAGTTATCAGTGATGTTTGCAGCCTGCAGGCAAAATACTTCTATGTTATTTATCGCACATCAGCAGATGGCTGATATAATGTCATCTTCTGATATAACTGCAGGAAGCCCTGCTGCTCCTACAGCACCTGTCCGAATTTCCGTTAGGACCCATCCTTTTTGGTGGCTTGTAACCTACACATGCCCTTAAGCTACAGTGTGTTAACACATGGTGACATAACATAGCACGACCCGTTTCCCTCCCTCCCTGCCTGGTTCGGACGCGATGCTCAGAGGTATTGCCAGTGTGGTACTACGGAGAGTGGTGCCAGGCACACCTCCAGCGGAGGAAACCTCCGCCACCGCCGACCTGTCCACACACCTCTGCCCTGGACCTTTCAACCATTCTTCATTTCAAGAGTTGTCTCTGATGCTTCTATTTATATCCCACGCAAATACGGTGCCTTTTCACTTTTACTGATGAAATTTCTTTTCCACGGTGCTATCATTTCTGAAGTAATTAAGGCCATGAGGGCTCTTGAGAAATCATCTAACCCATATCCCACCTCAAAGACAAGGTTACCTTGATACAATCTATTCCAGCACTTAACTAACCTGTTACCTGTTAATGGGAAAGTCTATTTTATTTTTTTAAATACAAAGTAATATAGGTTTTAGAAAAATAAGAAAAATATTTATATAAAATGCTCTACTGTAACTAGAGATATATAAAATAAAGGCCTGAAATAATATTTTTAAATTACTTGCCAAGGATTTCCAGACCTGTTCGCCTACTGTACTTCACGTTTGACCTGTAGCAGGGTGATAGTATGACCTAGTGTAAACATATGTCCTGCTTGCTTTATCTCATTACAGGATCCCTAACAAAAGTGACAGCTGTTACCTCTTGTAGTGCAGGATTCGAGGGGTTTCTGGACATCTGTTCAGTAGGAGCAAAACCAAGATTCATAATTCATTAGATAAACAAATAAACATTTAATCTGTAGTAGTTTGAAATCTCTACAGATCCAGCTGGATTTGCACTTGTGACCCCAAGGTGGAAATATCTACATCCATAATCACTCTCCTGGGTGAATCAGCGTGAGTTTTCACTATCGTTGCTGCAAATTTTAATTAGCTGAGTATATCTGTTTCAATGAGGGCTTAATGAAAATAGTCACATTTTATGATGGTTTCCTAAATAAAGGGTTACCAGATAACTAAAATGTTTATAAGACATGGATAATCACATTTTATAGATTGTATAGTATTTATAGTATCCTCTGGCTGCTGCTATGTTTCTAGAGCATGTAACTAGGCTAGGCATTATCACTAGTATTTATTAATAACTTATTCATTCTTAATACAGAAAAATTTTTATATGACCATAAAACATTTTTACAAACAGTAACAATAACTTTAAATTATACTTTTAAAAATTTTGCCCTATGAAATGCTGAAGCACTTGTAGGTGCAGCTGCTTGTATAAACAGGCAAACCATATGATGTTTTAAAGAGGGGGTAGGAGTTATGCCACTTGGTTTTGGATATCTAAAAGTTATATGTGTAAGTCTGAACTGTTCACATGGATTTCTGGTTCTGTAAATGGGAAACAATGGGTACTTGTAGAAGATTTTCCTCTGTCCTCTCTCAAATGCTTGTCTTGAGATGAATGAAGCACTCGAGGGGGCTGTTTGTTTTATGAGTTTCAGAAAGGAATTTGGCTGCCTTGACTTGGATGTCTGATTTCCATATGCAGTGAAATAAAATTAAAAAAAAGAGGCATTGCAAAATAAGAATTAACCAATGAAACTGTCATCTGGAGAGATGCTTTGTTGAAAAATTATCTATGGATTTAGCTAAAAATACCAGCTGTTGCTGTTTTTAATTTGAAAATATACTCTGCTCTAACCTTCACTGAATTGAACTGAAGAGTAACATTTGAACTGCTGTCAACATCATACAGAAAGCCTAATGTTAAATCCCATGCTGCGTGGTTGGTGACCCTTCCTTGTAAAATTTCATTTCACCTCTGCTCCCCCAAAATCACCAGAATTTTTCATTTCCTTTCAGACACAGACTGTGAATAAAAAGATCATTCTCAAAATCTCTCCACATGAAAAAAATACGTTAGCTCCTGAGTCTTTTCAAATCTAGTAGGTTAAGGAATTACAGTAGCTCTCCTTCTGGAGAGTTCCTAATTATTAATTTATTTTTCTCTTTAACATTCATTTCTTTGATTGATATCCATCAGTTCACAATTTTATTTGCACCGAGAACTATGGCTTCCATGCTGTCGCTGTTGCTTATTATGCTTTCTCCAGTGCCTCCCCAGTACCAATTCCAGAGACAACCACTCTAGAATGTACAATATTTAAAACATTCTAAGGTATCTTTGCAAAGGAGAAAAAAAAAAAAAAAGGCAAGTCAAGCTGTGATGTTGTATTTCAGTATGACATAGCAAGAACTAGAGATGACCCCAGCACAGTGATCTCCACTCCCAGCTGGAAAATCTTCTCTGTTTTATTCTTTCTCCCTTTTTTTCCCAGACAGAGGTGATACTGTTTGGCAGTGAAACTCTACAGAAGCTGTGCTTTTCTTTCTTTGCCCTGCACAGCTGAGATATTCTGGAACCTATAAAGCCACATTACTCAAATGAACTGTTGAAAGAAACCCAACAGTCAGATCAGAAATGAGCATATTTTTAGATCTTTGGTTTGCAGTAAAAACTAATAAAAATAACAATAAGCAATTTCTGAGCGTTGCCATATGCTCCACATTGAGAAAATGCTTTCATTCACAAATCAAAATAATAAATATGATTAACTCTTACTGAATCTTCCAGAAATTCAGAATGTTTATCTAGTGCTCAGTCT